TGATTTTAGAAAAAATTTATTAATTCCGGCCTATTTCGACCCAAATTCGGGCCGATTTGCTGAATTTTGGTGGACCCTCTAATCTACTCCCCGGGAATATGGGTTAGGGTGATAAATAGACTAATTAATCAAATACAAGTGACTCTTGATATAAGAACCCTTCGATATAAGAAACTCTTGGTATAGGAAAGATTTTGTAAGTCTAAATTGAAAATTTTATAATAAAAAACCTTCGATATAAGAAATCTCGATATAAGGACGATTTGGCCGACCGACCTGCAAAGTCACCTGTACATATCAGATAACAATAACTAAGAAATTGTTTATGTTACACGAGTAAAGATCAATTTTTTAATAAATACATATATTATATTGATATCGATATATGTGTATATATATCCATTTAAAATGGTTCAATTCGTTATAAAGAAATTGTATTATCCTGAAATTTCCACGATTTACTTATAAAGTGTCGAAAAAAATTCTTATAAATAGCTGTCAGGTAAAAGGAATTAGAAAAACAAGTGCAATAGTTGTGTGAATTCTTTAGAATTTCGTGCTTTTTAAATATATTTTAATAATACTGTAAACTGCCGTATACAAGATCCCCACCCTATGTACTATACCCGAGTCTATAACATGGGATAAAGTTTTGGTAAAATGTAAAAGAGCCGGGTATACAAATAGGAATAACGATAAGTAGTAATTTATTACCAACCTCAATTATCAGATTATCAGACCTGTACCCATACAAGAGACCCGCGGGTTTGTTAACAGGTTTTAAAGTTGGTAAAATGAAACAGAGCCAGGTCTTGTATACGGCAGTTTACGGTAATTTAATTTCTAGTGATAAAAATGATAGTAAAATCTGACATAGTTTTGATTAATCTCGATTATCGTTATCGTTATAAATAAATAATATTTAATTAAAGTATGGTCATTATCATATGTGTCGTCTATCTGTATATTAATTAAATAATGTAACATATGATTTATAACCATAAAATATATCGATATATTTGCTACTTAGTATTTATAGTTTTGGGCCACATTATTATACTTATAAAGCACAAAACTTTTAAATGAAATGAGTACGTACAAGTTTAAATTTTAAGTTTTTTTTTACTGTTACCGTTACAGTTACTGTTGTTACTGTTACAAGGTTAGGAATAATCATCGCTTAAAAATTAGTAATGCTTAAATTATCTGGTACGTTTATTGATATGTCGTTATTTAGCTATATTTAGTGTACACTGACTTGAGAGTTGCAGAAATTAATTCACTTATATTCTTTTTAATAAAGAATTTAATATATATACAAAATATATATATATTCTCTTAAATTTATTAATAACAACCTATATTTTTTATGACTTTATTGGATATTTATAGTTAAGAAATATTGATTTAAGATCGATAAACCCGAGGGTGGACGGACTTACGATAACCAGATCAACTACTTGCATAATATTTTCGAAGGGTCTTCATAAAAATGGCAAAATTCAAGTTGCGCATTTGCATGCAGTATATTTTTAGTCAGACAAGACTAATAATATTATCATTACGTAGTTTTCATCACTTTTAAAAAACTTTTTTATTTTCATGTAACTCCTATTGGTTAGCACCTTTACTAAATTAGTTTATATCGTAGCTAGAACTTACTAACCCAATTCTGAAACGCACCTTACCGTTTTTTTCTACATAATATTTAATTTGATTTTTAATTATTTTAATTTTCTGACCGTTTTTTTTTTTTTTTAAAGTTGTGAAAACTTAGAATAAATTAAAAAAAAAAATATAAATACATAGAAAAAATTTTAATTTTTTGATAGAATAATCATTGATTATATCTTCTGTTTGATGATGGGTGTGAAATGTAGTAGTAGTAAAACAGAACATTTTGATGACAGTAAATTAACGAAATTGCAGCCAACAAACTTTGGTATCTGTGGTGATTGTCAAAATCCAAATACTGATATTTATAAAAATTTTGGATGGTGTCAGTTATGTAATTCTACAAGATTTAAAAATGAATTTACCAAATGGTCAAGTTGTAATGAAGCTGTTGATAATTTCATCCAAGAAACTCAATTAAATGCTAATAGTTACCGTAAAGTTTTGGAATGGATTCCATATGATGCGATTGTCGATGTTGAGTATGTTGGAAGAGGCTGTTACGGAACTGTATTTGCCGCCACTTGGGTACGCGGTAACATTTTATATTGGGATAAAAAAAAGAAAAAATGGGCTAGGAATTCCAGTATGACTGTAATTGTAAAAAGCATCGACAATTCTGCTAATATTACATTGGAATTCTTTCACGAGGTATGCATATATATATATATACTCATATATTACATTTTAATACTGTATTAATTAATCTCTTTTTATAGATTCGTGCTTACCTTCAATGCGATTTCGATCCTCGAGGAATGATTCAATATTATGGTATCACCCGAGATCCTCAAACAAATGATTATATGATCGTCAGCGAATTTGCAAACAATGGAAATTTACAAACTTATCTTCGACATAATTATCATTTGCTAAATTGGGAAAAACGTTTATGCATTTTACTTAAAATTGCAATGGCACTTCAAGATATTCACTCAACGGAATCTGTTCATCGAAATTTACATAGTGGTAACATACTACAAGTTGGTGACTGCGTTAAAATTAGTGACCTTGGATTAAATCGATATGCAAATGGCAATAGTGGTGTTTACGGCGTCTTACCATATGTTGCGCCCGAAATTTTACACGGTGAATCATATACTAAGGCATCTGATGTATACAGTTTAGCAATAGTGATGTGTGAGGTTGCCACGGGAATTCCTCCATTTAGTAATAGGGCTCACGATTATAATCTTGCCGTTGGTATATGTGATGGAATTCGTCCACCGTTTACTGAAGGAACTCCAAAATCTTTTACGACACTCGTAGAAAGGTGTTGGGATTCTGATCCCACGAATCGCCCCGATGTTCAACAAATAACTGAAATGTTATTCCGTTGGCATTTTAATCTTGAACAAGAGAGATCGACAGATGTATGCAATACTTTTCGTGATTCTGATACTAATATGAATCCACGACAACAGCGTCGTGACAGATTAAATTGGAGATTTCATCCGCAAGCTTGTTACACGAGTAGATTGCTTAATTTTGCTAATCTTCCAGAACCTACAAATTTCTTTACTCGATATCGTTTTGATTCTGCATTTGGAAGCGTTACTCAAGGCAAGTTTATTATTATTATTATTATTATTATTAAAAAACAACTGTTTTACTTATTTTCTTTAACACTAATTTATACACTTTATAGACAGTTTCAATAAAACAAATTCTCATATTGACGAAAAATTCGAGGGTAATGGAATTATAATTTATTGATATGTACATTAATCAGTCCTAAGCAGTCTTTGAGAATTGTCGGTTTTTCAAAATGATTTTTTTTTCATAAGCTATTAAAACGAATTGTTTGTAATAATTCATTTGCCAGATTTACTTAATGGAAAAAATATCTGGAATTTGAAAACATTTTTATTCGATTCAAAAAAAAAAAAAGGCAGATGGCTTAGAGCCGTGATATATATTAGCTATTTCCATTAAGCAAATCTTTTTTTATAAAATTGAGCTATTGTGTTAGTAACTTATGAAGAAAGATCAATTAGGTCCGATTAATACCTCTTATGACATTTATTACTTTAATAAAACCTTTTAAATTATTATTAAAAAGGCACACATAGCCCTTCAAGTTCTCAAATTGATCTTGAACAATTAAGAACACCCTCAATGGCACTCTCAGATCCTATATATACATCACTCCTACGTAAACACTATCGAGCCGATAAGATATTTTTTAACGAATCAGAAATCTGTTCAGGTTTGCAAGATTATTTTATAATTCGACAAATTCGTGTTTTTCATGTAATTAACACGAAATTCATGTTTCGTGCGATTAACACTAAATTCGTGTTTTTTTCACGCGAATTAACACGAAATTCATGTTTCGTGTAAATTCGTGTTTCACGTAATTAAAGTGAAAAAATCATTAACACGAAACTCTCTTTTTCATGTAATTTACATTCATAAAAACTGATAATATTACAGACAATGAAAGTACTTATTCACAAGAAATATTATCTGATGATGTACCATCATTGCGGTACTCTAAAGCCATAACCACAGAACTTGAACGTCGATCAACACCTGATGTAGGAGGTAGAACATCACGATATTCATTAGCATTAGAAGCCGAACTTCAACGATGCACCACACCAGAAGGTCGGAACAAGAAACAACGAAAAGGAAAAAAGCATATACCAGCCATAGGATCAACATTTAATGATACGAGAAATATAGCGGTAGCGGTACATAATAAAAGACAGAACGATCTTAGAAAAAATATATATCACAGATATGATCAAAATGCATCTAATAAGGCACGAAAAGAAATGGCACAAACTTATAAATATTCAATAGAATCAATTAAAGAAACTGGTATAAAATCACCACCAAAGCTTTCGGGAGAACATTTATTTCAAGATGACGATGATGCATATCAGAATTGTGAAAACGAAGAAAATGAAAAAGTTAAAAAAAATATGAAAATTAACAATGTGGATTTGGAAAATATAGACGTATTACAATTTGTTAGAAGGCAACCTACTATTCAACGAGGTATTTGGAAATATATATCTTTTAAAAAAATGAATTTTGTTATCTAATTTTTTTTTTTTTGTCTTAACAGCAAGAAGGGAAAAGACCACATCTATATTTGTATCAAAATTTGACCATCAAACAGATTCAACACCACCCCCACCGATTCGTGTATAAATAGATTATTAGAATGATATTGTGCGAATTGGCTAGATTATTAACAATAGATATTGTAAGTGTTAAAAACATTTCTCTGTCCAAAATATAATTATCTTTAAGTAATTTCATGTAAATAAAAAGTTAAGGGCTTC